TTATTTGGGTCTTCTCTCTTTTTTTCTTAATGCGTCTGCTTAAAGGCTCGTCAATTTTGTTTATCTTTTCAAAGAACCAGCTCTTGGATTCATTGATCCTTAGAATTGTGCTTTTAGTCTTTGTGTCATTTAATTCTGCTCTGATCTTGGTTATTTCCTTCCTTCTGCTTGCTCTGGGCTGCTTTTGTTGTTGTTCCTCGAGTTCTTGTAGATGTAGGGTTAGGTTGTTTGTTTGGAATGTTTCTAACCTTTTTAGGTGGGCCTGTATAGCTATGAACTTCCCTCTCAGGACTGCCTTGGCTGTGTCCCATAAGTTTTGGGTTGTTGTGAGTTCGTTTTCATTTGTTTCCAGAAACCTTTTGATTTCTTCCCTAATATCATTCTTGACCCATTCCTTGTTTAATAGCATGCTATTTAATCTCCATGATTTTTGAGTGTTTTGGTTTTTTTTTCCTTGGGGTTGGTTTCTAGCTTCAGTCCCTTGTGGTCTGAGAAAATGCTTGGTATGATTTCAATTTTCTTGAAATTGTTGAGGCTTGTTTTGTGTCCTATCATGTGGTCTATCTTTGAGAATGTTCCATGTATATTGGAAAAGAATGTATATTTAGCTTCTTTTGGATGGAGGACTTTGTATATATCAGTAAGGTCCATTTCATCTAGGGTATTGTTCAATGCCGCAATATCTTTGTTGATATTTTGTTTAGAAGATCTGTCCATTTTTGATAGTGGGGTGTTAAAATCTCCCACTGTAATTGTGTTGCTGTCCATATCTTTCTTAAAGTCCTCTAAGATTTTCTTTATGTATTTCGGTGCTCCTATGTTGGGTGCATATATATTTACAATATTTATGTCTTCTTGATGGATTCTTCCCTTTAGTATTATGAAGTGACCTTCTGGGTCTCTCTTTATGGACCTTTTTTGGAAGTCTATTTTGTCTGATATGAGTATTGCTACCCCGGCTTTTTTTTTCCTGTCCAGTTGCTTGGAAGATTTGTTTCCAGCCCTTCACTTTCAGCCTGTGTAGGTCTTTTATCCTGAGGTGGGTCTTTTGTAGGCAGCATACGTGTGGGTCATTTTTTCTTATCCATTCAGCTATTCTATGTCTTTTGATTGGAGTATTTAATCCATTTACGTTTAAGGTTATTATTGATAGGTGCTTATTCATTGTCTTTTATGTACATGTGGTCCTCTCTCTCTCTCTCTCTCTCTCTCTCTCTCTCTCTCTCTTTCTCTCCCTTCCTTAAAGCATTCCTTTTAGAATCTCTTGCAGAGCTGGTTTGGTCGAGGTGTATTCTTTTAGAGTTCTTTTGTCTGGGAAGCTTTTTATTTGGCCTTCTATCTTGATCGAGAGCCTTGCTGGATATAATAGCCTTGGTTGCAGCCCTCTGGTTCTCATTACCTGGAGTATTTCTTGCCATTCTCTTCTGGCTTGAAGTGTTTCCATTGAGAAATCAGCTGTTAGCCTTATTGGGGTCCCTTGTATGTTACTTCCTGTTTCTCCCTTGCTGCCTCTAATATTCTCTCTTTGTCTTGAAATTTTGCCATTTTAGTTATGATGTGTCTTGAGGTGGGCCTCTTTGGGTTCCTCTTGATTGGGACTCTCTGTGTTTCCTGGATTTGTGTGACTTTTTCTCTCATCAAATTAGGGAAGTTCTCCTTCATTACTTGTTCAACTAGGTTTTCGATCCTTTGCTCTTCTTCCTCTCCTTCTGGTATCCCTATTATACGGATATTATTACATTTCATATTGTCTTGCATTTCTCTTAATCCCTCTTCATTCTTTCTGAGCCTCTTTTCCTTTTCTTGCTCTTTCTGGATGCTGTTTTCTACTTTGTCCTCCAGTTCGCTAATCCGATCTTCTGCTTCATCAATCCTGCTTTTCATTCCTTCTACTGTGTTCTTCAGTTCAGAAATTGTATTCGTCATTTCCTCTTGACCTTTGTTGAGAGTTTCTATTTCCTTTTTCATGTTTATATAGTTTGCAGTGAGATTGATGTAGTTTCCCTCTAATTTCTGAAAGCTCATTGTGAGTTCATTGAACTTCCTGGTAATCATTGTTTTGAACTCACTATCTGATAGTTGAGTTGCCTCTATTTCATTTAGCATTTTTCCTGAGGCTTCTTCGTTTGCCTTCAGTTGGGGGTGGTTTTTTTGTTTTCTCATTGTTCGTGGGTTTCTTCTTTTTTCTTCTTGTTTGTTAATTTGATCTGTTCTGATTCCCTGTAATTATGGTGCGAACTTCTGTGGTAGAATATTTGTGAGATTCAGTGGTGCAATCTCCTTCGTGTATCCTGGTGTTCACAGCTTCCCCCTACTCTTTTTTTGGGATCAGTTGGAGGAGTAAGGAAAATGGTTTAAAACAGCAAGACAGTATACTATGATATTTACATTAGCAGCCAGCAGAGAAGAGATGGGTTATCCTTTGGATCCTTATAGTGTTAACCATGATCCTCTACCCCACTATCCATGTTTTAGTAAGGATGTAAAGAAGGTAGACTCTTACTGGGGATGAGAGGATTGTTAGTTGGATCTAGAAAGCTGTGAGGCTGTGGGAGGTCAGATTCTAAGGTAGGGTTGGACTAAAGATTAGTATATAGGAGTAGTGAGTAAAAGAATAGAGACAACCCCCCACAATAGTATAGTTCAGAAAATTGCAAAGTGGGCTGAGATCAGGTAGGGGTATTGAGAAGCATTTACAATTGTATAGACTAGGTCTTACTAGCAGTAATAGTAAAGTGACAGTCTTGTGGCAGAATCGATGGGGTCTAGATAAGAAGAATAAAGAGTATAGAACCTTGAGAGGTATATTAATGGAACACAGATGAAGGATAGTAACTTATCAACACCTTGTGACTGAGATACCAGGGGGAACCTATCAAATGACAGTATAACCAGCCAAGCAAAGAAGATTATACAGAAAGAAAAAGAATACCAAAATATTATTAAAATAGAAAATGTCAGAAAAGTGAGAAAAAGATAATATAAATTTACAGTAATTTGCAAGATTAAAAAAAAAGTAAAGAAAAGCAGAAGATGTAGTGCAGGAGAGATAAATTTGGAGTGGAAAGAATAAGATTAGTTGAATGGAAGAGAAACATAAGGGATTGCGAGATAAAAATAATAAGAATTGAAAAATAAAATGTCACTTAAAACACAAGATAAAATCAATCAACCAACAACAGCCAGAGAAACAAAACAAAACCAAACAAAACCAAACAAAAAAAAACCCCAACAAAAAACCTCATGTTGGTTTCTAACTGGCCAGACCAGTTTTTCTGATCTTGCTGGCTTCAACTGGCTGAGGGACCTTTGAAATGCTTCTCTCTCTCCCAGCCAGATCTCAGCAAGTCTGTCAGGTACCCTGGGCGCTCCGAACACACTGGCTCTCTGGATCTCACTTCCACGTTCTTCCGGACTCTGGGGTCCTGCAGGGGTCCAGCTCTATGATCTCAGGAGGCACCTGCGATGTTTTGGGATTCACTGTGCCCTCCCTGGGAATCGTAAAAGGGCGCGCCCCTCCCCCAAACTTTTGAGATTCGGGGTCTAGGATCACCCTAAACGCCTCACCGCGACCCTTCCGGGTTCACAGGTTCACAGCACACGAGAGTCAGTCATCCTGAAGGTGCGGGAGCTAAGCCCTTTCCAGCTCCATGTTCCCTGCGGAGCCGCACTCTGACCGGGTGTTGGCGCCTTTCCCGGCTCCCCCGGTTGGGCTGGCTGGAAATTTCTGAGCCACTACTGTAGGAACGCAACAAGTGCCACGACCCTCCTGGGATCCCAGCACGGGATTCAGGCCTCCCTGTGGGGCATGGGTTGAGCTCGGCCAGGCTCTGTGCTCTCCACTGATTTGCACTTCCACCGGGCTAGGGATGTGGGCACTCTTCCAGGCTGCCCCTGGTCCTCTCGGCTAGAGGCCCTCCCTTCTCCCAGGTCTCTGGGCGGGTGTTCATAGTCCCTGGGCGATTTTTTCCCAGTCCAACTGGCCAATCTGTTCCTTCTAGCAACACGTTCTCCCCTGGAGTTGCTCACCGCCACCCCCCCCCCCCCCCAGTATTCGGGGGAGGGAGCAGCGACTTTCCTCTCCTAGGAGCCCTGAGGCAGACCCCGGAGCAAGCACCGGGCAGGCCTGGGGTCTGCACACCCCTAGGCCCTGTGCTGATCCCTGGGCCCCTTTTGTCCTAAGGCAGCCTCCTTACTGTCTGGTTTTTCAGTGAGTGCAATAATTTTTGATGTCCTGCTTTCAAAAGTGATTCGGTAACCTAGTCCACTTGCTCTGTTTCTCCAACGATCCACGAGTTTCTCCCCTCTTCACAGAAGCCGAGAAAAACGCTGCCTAGAGTAAAGCCACCATCTTCCGTCCGAGTTGCCTTTTATATATTCTTATTACTCCTTCTGCTTATATGTATAAATTGTACACATCACCCAAATATTTCAGATGTTGATTGCTTTTCTTATATACATATTTCACTAATTGTGACAATATCATGTTTGTCTCTGACACTTACCATATTGTACAATGTTCAGAAATAGTAGACTCTCAGTAAATTAAAAAATGAATTGATGGTAATTAAATTATGAAGAAGAATTCTAAGTCAGGATCTAATTTAATCTAAGATTAAACAAACTTTAACTCTTTATTATGTATACTTTAAGAAAACAAAACAGGACAGAAAGATATGAGTTAAGTATAGTTTTAGAAGCTTGGTCTAGTCGTTAAAGTGTTCATTTTAGCCATTGCCATTCATGCTTTCAAAACTTTACTAACATTTTCATAATATTAGGGTGTTTCATTGAGCATTCCTAAGGAGTACTTGTAGATTAGTAATAGTCCTATTGAAAATAAAAAATACGTTTCTGCCAAATGGCATCCCCCACCCAGCCCACCCCACCTTATCTAATTTTTCAGATTTTGGGTCACTGATAGAAAAGATATTCTTGATTAAACACTAGGTCTGGGAAGTGATAACTAAGAAGTAGATCTTATTGTAGAGGTGTTAGATTCAGACCTCAGAAGCCCTGGGAAAGAGGACTTTTTTAATGGCTCTACGGATCTGCTTGGTTTTCACACTATAAATAATGGGATTCATCACTGGTGGAATAAGCAAATACACATTGGCCATAAGAGTGTGTACATAAGGAGGTGCCTTTTTCCCAAACCTATGGACAAAGCACAGGCTAATAAGAGGGATGTAGAAGATGGCAACAGCACCTATATGGGAGATACAAGTGCTAAAGGCTTTGTGCCGCTCTTCTGGGGCAGCAATGCTTAAAATGGTCTTGATAATCAGGATATAGGAGAGAAGGATAAAGATGGAGTCCACTCCTGCAGTGACTATGAGGGCAAAAAGTCCTAAAATACTGTTGATCTTATTGTCAGAACATGAGAGCTGTATTATATCAGGGTGGAAACAATAAGAATGATGGAGTACATAGCTTTGGCAGAAGGATAGTTTTTTAAGAAGCAGAACCAGAGGCATTAGGATCACTGTCCCTCTGACAAGAATGGCAAACCACACTTTGATGATTCTGGACTCAGTCAAGATGGTATTGTATCTCAGCGGGTTACAAATGGCAATAAAGCGGTCAAAAGCCATTGCTAGGAGCACGGAAGACTCCATGACAGTAAAGAGTTGGATGAAGAAAGTCTGGACAACACAGGCATAGAAAGTGATCTGTCTTGCATTGAACCAGAAGATGCCCAGCATAGTGACTAGTGTTGAAATACACAAGCCCAGGTCAGTGGTTGAGAGCATAGTGAGGAAATAGTACATAGGTTCATGGAGACTTGACTCAGTGATGATGACAAATAGGATTACACCATTCCCAGAGAGGGCAGTTATGTAGCAACAGCAGAAGGGGATGGAAATCCAGGCATGGGCGGCTTCTAGTCCTGGAACTCCCGTCAGGAAAAAGATCAGAGAAGAGGAAGTGATGTTAGGAAAAGATGACATGATTACTACAGAATAATAATTCTGTTGAAATAAACTGTCCTAGAATGAGAAATGAAAACACAATTCAGCAATTTTGTTATGACTTATATTAACTGTAGCTACATAAATCAAATTGGAGATTATTTTTTTCTCTTTGCTCTTCAGTTTTTATTTCTTTTCTTCTTGCTCTATTGATCTTTTTCTCCATGATTCTTGTTTACCAATTCACAATAGGGAGTCTTTTTGTTTTTAAATCTCAGAGGTACTTTTTGTTATCTTTCACTTTGACCTTAAGCATTTTCTTTTCCCCTTCTATTGTACTCCCCATATAGAGGAGAATTGGATCAAGATAATCTGAAAATACCACAAATATGATAAAGATCTCAAAGTAATATTAGTTTTAAGAAGTAAGAATTATTATTTAACAAAAATATGGATTTTGAAATATTTGTGTTAATAGTACATTACAATGGAACTTATACATTTTAAAGCTATATAGCCTTTCAGAAAATAAATTTATTTAAGAAAATAATTTTACACAAGTCAAAAATATCCTATTTATTATTTCCTGGGTAATGGATCTTCTCTTTTGCTATGGTTGTCTTTAGTGTAGGGTTACATTTCTGATCTTAAGTTTTTAATTTTCTTATCTATTGTCTCTCTGTAGTTGTGTTGATACATTGTGTAAAGTTGTGTCTTTCTGTAGTTGTGTTGCAGTTGTGTAAAGAACATTCTCTATAATATCACCTTTGACAGTTTGTCCTTCCACGGTCAATTATATTAAATTTCAGGGCTAAGGGTGAACTGGCTGTGCAGAGGCCTGGTATTAGATACCTCCCCCTCCAGCCTAGTGTTTTTGCAATCATTGCTACCTTTTATTCATATATAGTCTCAGAACAATACACTTACAGAGCATGTCTTCATTAAGGTAAATAACACATTTGAGCTTTCACTCTAACATTAGATTGTATCTGGTATAAGACATTGTGTAGGTGAGGTCCTGGGTCAGCTTTCTTTTTCCTTTCTCCTTTCCCATATTGAGTTAATTCTTGTGATCTAGTCCCCTTATGTTCTGGAAATCTTGCTAAATTCTTCACTAAACCAATGTGGTGGTGCTCTGAATACTCTAAAATTTCTTCTTTTTGAGTCTCAAAGACTATTTGCTTTTCTCATAGCCTCAGTCATTGGCTGGCACCCAATTGGTCCTTCATGAACATTCAGAATTATGCCACTTACCACTTGATTTGGAGAACACATGAGGAGGGACCCCCCACACCCCTGAACTTATTTATAAAAAATTGTGTATTTATTCTCACATGTTGAAACTTCAGTCAACTTCAAAGTACTCTCCATTTGATGCAATACACCTAACAAGACTTTTTTTTCCACTGCTCAAAACTGTTTTTGAATTTGTCAATTGTGACATTGTTTAGTGCTTCTGTTGTTTTTTGTTTCACCTCTTCCACATCAGCAAAATGTTTCCTTTTGAGGACCTTTTTCATGCAGGGAAACAGAAAAAGGTTGCTTGGGAGCAGATCAGTGAATAGGGAGAATAGGACATGGGGGTCACACTGCCTTCATTCAAAAACTGCTGAACACTCAGTGCAGCGTGGGCAGGTGCTCTTGTAAATCACCTGTCATGAAATGTGCAAATGTGTTGAGAGTCTTTAAAAAAACTCACTGAAGCTGAACACAGCCACTCACAATGATGCCAGCTTATTCACTGGTACAGGTTGGTTCCTAGAACACTCACCTAGTAGGGGAAGCCTGTACTGTAAGGGGCCCACCTTCCTGAAGGTAATCCTGGGTTTTTTTGGTCCCCCTTATACTTCTGTAGCTTTGTTATACTTACCCAGTTTTACCTTCTTAGTTATTGAAACATTTGCCTCTAAACTGTAGTCTGTGACAGGTCTCCTACTTATTTTAGTGTTTACTTTTTATTTAATCTTCAGCTACCATTGCTTTCTAGTCTCAAATTTTATACCTGCACTCACAGGCTACTGGGATCCTACCATATCTCACATCTGAGGCTGCTCAGTTTGGGTTCATCACAAAAGAGTCTCCTGCCTTTGGTGTTATCTAATGTTAACATTAAAATGATTGAATTTCACAATATCCATTATTGTTTTCTTATTGTATGCAATTACAGTTTAAAAAGACATCATAGAAATAAGCTTGTAGGCATTACTCAATATCCTAACTATGTAAGAAATATAGAAATGGCCCTATGCTGAAAATAATAAATGTACATTATAGAGATTATGATATAGTTACTATGCTGTTTATAAGCTGATTCATGAAGTTAATACTTATTAACTTCATAATTATTTGACTGAAAATTGTTTTCCACTTAACAAAGTGGAAAACATCAATTTTTGACTCAATTTTCTAGCATAATGTAAAACTTAATACGTGAAATTAAAAATCTCTTACTAGAAAATTTTAGGAAAACATTTTAAAGATCATTACGTATAGAAAAATGGGGGAAGGTCATAGAAAAATAATGACTTTGAGGTTAAAACAATCAATCTAAATTTAAGCAGGTTTTATTTAAATAAAATAAATTAACAAGAAAGTTAATATTTAAAGCTGGTGTCCACAGACAGGAAAATAACAGCAGTAGTGTTCAGGAAGAAATACAATTTGGGGTCATGGGTGATGTGGCTCAGTGGATTGAGTACTGGCCTATGAATCAAAGGGTCACAGGTTCAATTCCCAGTGAGGGCACATGCCTGGGTTGTGGGCCAGGTCTCCAGTAGGTGGCACTTGAGAAACAACCACACATTGATGTTTCTGTCTCTCTCTTACTCTCTCCCTTCCCCTCTGTCTAAAAAGAAATAAATAAAACATTAAAAAAACCCACCAATTTTGGTTTTGAAAGCTTCCTTTAAGGTGACCTAAGACATTGGCTTTAAATGTCTTCATTTACAACATTTTTGCATAATATAGAATCCTAGAATTTTAAAATTAGAAAGTACCTTGGAAATATTTTAATTCTTTCCATAAAATTACATTAACTTTATCAAATCATTTCCCATTTTCCTAAAAAAATTAATTAATTTTATTAGCCTTACTACTGTCAAGGTGAATTGAAGGAATAATGATGAATGTATATGTAAAAAAAGAACACTTGGAAATTATAAAGTTTATAATCAGCCAGGAGGAGAAAACCAAGCACAAATAGATGGTTGTGTTTGAATGACTGAAGTATTACATTTGAGAAGAATTCCATTTGACCTGTGTGCTGTACATAGGGTAAACTTAGAACCAGCAGAAAGGAGCTAATGAGATGTTAAGGAGTGCTCTCATGTGTGGAATGAGCCAGAAGCAGTGCAGTAGTGACCTTCCAATACTACATGATACAATGGTCACTTTGTCTAAACAGAACTGCTGAAAATGGGATAGATGCATTCATTTAGTCTTTCAGTAAATATATGTTGCACATCTACTGTAGATCAGGGCTAAAAAATTAAATGTTAAACACAACAATGTGCCTGGCTCTAAATATAACTAGTCAACTAGAGAATACAGACAAATTAAGACAGAATTAGAGAGGGTAAAGAGTAAATCTAGAATGTATAAGGACAACAATAAGCTCTTTGTAGAGGATAACAACTTGCTTTTCCTAATTTATGATGACTAGATTGAAACCTGAATTCTGAGTTGTCAAGGAATGGATTTGTGTGCACATGTGTGTATGTGTATGTGATAGTTAATTTTATGTGCCAGCTTGACTAGGCCACAGAATGCTCAACTATGGGGTTAAACATTGTTTCTGGGTGTGTCTGTGAGGGTATTTCTGGAAGACATTAGCAGTTGAATCAGTACACTTAGTAAAGCAGATTACCTTCTCCTATGTGGGTGGCCTTCATTCAATTAGTAAAGTCCTTAATAGAATGAAAAGGCAGGAGAAGAGAGAATTCTCCCAAGGCGGAACTGGGACATCAGTCTTCCTCTGTCCTTGAACTGAAATTTGTACCATCAGTGCTCCTGATTCTCCTGCCTTTGTACTTGAACTGGAACTCACACCATCAATTCCCCTGGCCTTCAGAGTTAGACTGGAACTATACCACTAGCTTTTCTGGGTCTTCAGCTTGCAGATGGCATGTTGTGGGATTTCTGTCTCCATAATAATGTGAATTTCTCGTAAAAATCTCCTTATCTTTATCATCTATCATCTATCTAATTTACTTATCTACATGTCATCTATCTCCTACTGCATTTCTGTATCTCTGAAGAACCCTGACTAATATAGTGTGAGAAGAGAAAAAGCATAATAGTAGCAACAATTTTGGGATAGAGGACTTAACAGAATATGTTTGTTGTTATTTTATCATTGGTAAATTGGAGATGATAATAGGTACAGTAATTTTGTGTGGTCATGATACCTGTCATTTTTAGAATCTCACAATGAGTCAGGCCTAGCACTATATGCTTCACATGAATTAGCTCATTTAATTAAAGAATCATATTGCTTATAAAATTCCAGTTAGAGAGATAAACAATTTATAATATTCAGTACCCCCCAAAAGTTAGGCTTTAAATTTCATTTTTGTAAACTCAAAATTTGTGATAGCTCCACCATGCTCCATATCAATGCTTCTCCATGGTGGTAATCCTGGTAGAATAACATTAAAATAATACATTTTTGTGTTACCTATACATATAAATTACTGAAATTTTAAGAATTCATACTACTTTTTCCTTTCAATAGCCATATACTCTCATTGTTTGTTGTCTCTAAGTAGACACAAAAATGCATAGGTATTAGGGTTTCAAACACTTGATGTTTGATAGATTTGTTTTTCACTTTCTAATTTTTTTTGCTAATTTTAAATCTTATTTCCTTGTTAATATTCAAGGGAGATAGCAAGCAATTATTTTCTTACATGTTAAATTATTAAGGCTACTAGTAAAGTTAATGGTGTATGTTATATAATTAGACCTACTGGAATCATAGATTTGAGCTGCAGATACTTCAATTAGATCTACCTTTTTTATAGCCACTGCTGACATATTTA